GGAGCGCCAGCCTGCGCGTCGCCCAGTTTCATGACCTTTTTGAGGAGCTTGTAGTCTAAGTACCTCGGCGCTCGAAACCCTAAACCCTAAACCCTAAATCGAAGCCCTAACAACCCCTAAACCCTAAACCCTCGAAGTCCTGACCCCTCTCAAAACCCGAAAAACAAATCACACCTTAAAGGCGCCCCAGCTGCTTTTCCAACCGCCCAGATCCACGCTAGCTGCCCGGGGGTGGCTTTCAATTTGTTACGGTTTAGGGTTTCGGGTTTAGGATTGAGGGTAAACGGGTTTAAGGTGATTTCGATGATTTCACTTAGACAAGTACCTAGAAGCCTGAGAAGACCATAATCGACTTGGGGGGGGGGGCCTCTGGGCAGAACCCTACACGCTCCGGTCGCGAATCGCTACCCATCGCTGCCCTAAACCCTAAACCCTAGACCGTAAACCCTGAACCCTAAACCCAAAACCCAAATTGGGCGGTCTTCAGGGCTTTGTTTAGGCTTGTTTAGAATTAGGGCTTAGGGCTTTGGGTTTTTGAAGCCCAAAACTATGAGCCCCCCTCAGCCCTGAAATCCCAAGCACCCCTTTGACCAAGATGCCCCTTGTTAGTTAGGGTTAGGGTTTAGGGTTTAGGGTTTAGGGTTTAGGGTTTAGGGTTTAGGGTTTAGGGTTTAGGGTTTAGGGTTTAGGGTCTAGGGTCTAGGGTCTAGGGTTTAGGGTTTAGGGATTAGGGTTTAGGGGTTAGGGTCTGGGATTTAGGGTTATTTATCATAGATTCCCATACTGCCCCCCGCTATACTACTTTTTTGGTTAAGGCGATTTAGGGAAAATCAAGCCTAGTTAAGGTATTTAAGGGGGGGAACCTAGGGGGGGTAGTAGGGAAACCGTGGGATTGTAGGGTTTAGGTTTAGGGTTTAGGGCTTAGGGCTTAGGGTTTAGGGTTTAGGGTACGGTTTAGGGTTTGCTGTGATAGGGCGTAGATGCTGTGAAGGTTAGGTTTCGGAACAAGCTCGAAAGCTTCGTGAGGTGCGAAGAGCAGCTTTGGCCCGATTGTGGAGGGCCATCTAACACTTCTCTCCCGCCCCACGCCGTCCAAGGCGGCAAAGCCACCCAAACCTATAAACTCAGACGACAGCCCACTTCTAATTCTTATTCAGTCTCATGACGTTCGTTGAAGTAAAGGAATGGGGGGTCGAAGGGCCTAAGCGCCTTTCAACGTAGGGGGGTGGCCTAGGCCCTGATTTTAGGGTTTAGCGTTTAGAGTTGGGTTAGGTTTTGAAGAGAAGGCTACCGATACGAGGGGTGTTCAAAGACATCCCTCTAAGAGAAAAGCCAGGGACCTACAGGAGTGAATGCAAGTAAATTCCTAACGCGCCAATTCAAAACCCGAAAGCCTAAGCCCGAAAGCCTAAGCCCGAAACCCTAACCCACAACCTGAAGCCCTGAAACCTTGAACCCGTACACCCTAAACCCGAAAAGCCTGAACCCCTAAACCCCAAACCTTAAACCTAATCCCCGAAACCACTAAACCCTAAACCCCCAAACCCTAAAGACCAAAACCCTAAACCCCAACCCCCAAACCTTAAACCCTGAACCCTGAACCCGAAACCCTAAACCCCCAAACCCTAACCACTAATCCCTGATCCCAAGCCCTAAACCCTAAACCCCCAAACCCTAAACCACTAAACCCTAGACCGGAAACTCTAAACCCAAAACCCTAAACCCCCAAACCCTAAACCACTTAACCTTAAACCCCAAACCCTAAACCGTTAAACCCGAAACCCTAAACCACTAAACCCTAAACCCCAAACCCCAAAGCCTAAACCCTAAACCCAAAACCCCTAAACCCTAAACCCCCTAAACCCTAAACCCTAAACCCTAAACCTGCTGCACCCCAAGAGTCTGTCCATCCCAGGCTTGTTCAAGCTCCTCCTGGAGTCGCTTCGCGAACCTGGGGTTGAGGGTTTGAGGTTTACGGGTTTGGGGTTTAGGGTTTGGGGTTTGGGGTTGAGGGTTTGAGGTTTAGGGTTTATGGTTTCGGGGTTTAGGGTTTGGGGCCGAGGGCTTTCGGCTTAGGGTTTAGGGTTTGGTTGTTTTCGGGTTTGGGTTTTTTTTCGGGTTTGGGTTTTAGGGTTTCGGGTTTGGGGTTGAGGGTTTTCGGTTTCGGGTTTTTGGCTTTAGGGTTTTAGGATATGGGGGTTTGGTGTTTTGTTTGCTTGCAGTATTTGTACTGCAGGCTGATAGGGCCTAGGAGTTTCGGTGACTTCCAGGTTTGCAAAATATGTATTGCATTGTTGTGCTTCGTTTTTGCTTTATTGCCTTTGCTCGGTTCACTTTTCTTGTCATTTCTTTGTTGGGTGTTTAATTTTGTATGCCGGGGGGGGGGGGGGGGGGTAGGGGCTTCGGGCTTAGGCTATCTTACATATAGTCGATCTAGAATCTACATCTATATCTATATTTGTGTATATATATATATATATATATGTGTGTGTGTGTGTGCATTGTGTTATTCAAGTCTGTGTGTGTGTGTGTGTGTGTGTGTGTGTGTGTGTGGGTGTGGGTGGGTGTGCGTGTGTGGGTGGGTGGGTGGGTGTGGTGGTGGGTGCGTGGTGGGTGCGTGGGTGCGTGGGTGCGTGGGTGGTGGGTGCGTGGGTGCGTGGGTGCGTGTGCGTGCGTGGTGCGTGGGTGCGTGCGTGCGTGGGCGTGCGTGCGTGCGTGCGTGCGTGCGTGCGTGCGGGCGTGCGTGCGTGCGTGCGTGCGTGCGTGCGTGCGTGCGTGCGTGCGTGCGTGCGTGCGTGGGTGCGTGTGTGTGTGTGTGTGTGTGTGTGTGTGTGTGTGTGTGTGTGTGTGTGTGTGTGTGTGTGTGTGTGTGTGTGTGTGTATGTGTGTGTGTGTACGTGTACGTGTACGTGGATCATGCGTATGTGTCTGTCTATGTGTGTGTGTGTGTTCTCCATGTGTGCGTGTGTGCATGTGTCGGAAAGGCTACGTACCCCAAGTCTTTGACTCCTTGGCTAACTCAGGTCAACATGCGCTGCAAACACTTTCCACCTCCCTTCACAGGCTGGTGAAGAATGTATAATATTTATTCTATATTCCAAAGTTGATATTCTTGTAGTAGTACGAACTAGTTCAGTATTGTGTATACATCTGTGTATACATCGCACAGCTTCTGTCATGAGGATGGGTGGCTTCCCTCAAGGTTACACACCCTCCAGAATCTGCCAAAGAGCTTCATGGTAGTCTCCCGGCCGGCAGCACAGGCCAAGCGGCACCACCGTCTTTCTCACAGGCGTGCCGGTACAGTGGCCAATGCCGTTTCACTATTTGTATACCCCTGGAGAGGACCACTGTACCTTAGTTGTTGGGTACTTCTGCGGTACAAAGAGCTTGATGTGCAGTAACCTCGATCCCGTGGGTACTTCTTCGGTACATGAACCTTTCCTTGCGGTGAAGGGTTACCCTGCAAAAGACTGCAACAGGGGGTGTGCAAGATCGGCTTGTAGAGTCTTAGTGCCGGCAATGGACCTTCAGCCCGGGAAGCGCCGCAGTGTTCAAAAGACTGTGAACCGTGGCTTGGGTCTAGGTCTGAAGGTAACATCGTCTATAAACCCTAAAACCCTGAACTCAATTCATGAGCTTCCCTGAGCGGCGCTTTCCCCAGGTCGACTTCAAAATGTAAAAGCACTACGCTGACAAGGCTGACACTATGCCACCTCGAGCCGAGTAGAGGCCAGTTAAGGTGTGGTCCGCTACTCCCTAAACCCTAAACCCTAAACCCGAAACCCTAAACCCTAAACCCTGAACCCTTGGCTGCACTTAAGAGGGCAGCGATAAATTAAGCGTTTAGCTGCCTTATTCAGAAGCCCAATAAACACAAAAAAGGGTTTGGGGTTTGGGGTTTGGGGTTTGGGGTTTAGGGTTTAGGGTTTAGGGTTTAGGGTTTAGGGTTTAGGGTTTAGGGTTTAGGGTTTAGGGTTTAGGCACCACAAAGGTGACCTTCCAAAAGGTTTCTGACGTATGGGCCCCTAGGTTTGAGAGGGTATGTAAGGGGAAAGAAAAAGGGCTCCCCTTGTAAGGGTTCATTTAAAGGGACCATGTAACTAGCCCAACAGATATCTAGACCTAAGAGTACCCTAGGGGAAAAAAAGTGCCCTTTTTTGGTTTAAAGTGGCTTACAAGGGGAAACCTACACCGCCTACACCCCAATGAAAAGGGGCATAAGGGACTACTCTGGCCTGGGACGTTAGCCATGTGGGATCTACACGAGCCCTTCGCCTCCGAAGATATCATCAGGTTTAATTCGGGCTTTAGGGGTGGGGGGGGGTGGCTCAGCATGATGAGTGATATGATGTTTTTCGAAAATAAGGGACCCCTAATATAGACCCCAAATATAGTAGGATTCCCCTATAAGAAGGACCCCAATAAGGTACCCCTAATTTCGGAAAGCCATATGCTCATGCAGGCATTCCTTCGTTGAGAACTTATGACCACTCCATCCAATCTCAGAGAGCCCGTATGCTTAGACCTGAGCCCCAAACATTATCATCCACGCCTCATGTTGAATCATGTATGCTTTGTGAAACCCTAAACACTAAACCCTATACCCTAAACCCTAAACCCTAAACCCTAACCTGAATCGTGGGCCCGCAAAGGGATGCTAGTCCCCAGGTGCGATACAACGCTCGAAAGACTCAAAGGACTGCTTATGTAAAAAGGCCCTCTGCGTGCCACACTGCATGCTAGAAGGGTAGGATCTCTAATCTTTCTACTGCGAACAAAGGATTGAGGGTTTGGGGTTTAGGGCTTAGGGTTTTTGGGTGTCGGGCTTACTTCGGGCCTTTGTTTTTGGTCCGTTATTTGTTTGTGTCGAAGGGCGACACACAGCTTGTGCCCCAAACCGTTTGGCCCAAACCCCGAACTCTTGAACCCAAAACGCTCACATCTCTAAACCCTCAAAACCCCTAAACCCTAAACCCCCCCCCCACCCGGCCGCATGCCTTCCATAAAAGGCATCTCAGACAGGTCCTGCCACGGAAGCCATCAACCCGCTTCCTAAAAACAGGAGAGCCGCAATCAAACCTACAGTGCCCATGTACGGGCTTTCTTCCCAGACACCTCGTTGTTGCTACATGGTTTAGGGTTTAGGGTTTAGGGTTTAGGGTTTAGGATGCACTAACACAGAAAAACAAAAATGTGTAGACACGATTGCAGGGAGGCTATCATCCGCCGCGTGCCTGAATCAAACCTCGCTTGGCGGCGGGGACCCTCTTTGGGGAAGCACCTGTAAATGAAAGCATAAACCGGTGCTGAACGCCACCTAAACCCTAAACCCTCAACCGTAAACCCTAAACCCTAAACCCTAAACCCTAAACCCTAAACCCTAAACCCTAGACCCTAAACCCTAAACCCTAAACCCTAAACCCTAAACCCTAAACCCTAAACCCCAAACCCCAACCTTGAGCCCCGGAGCTGCAGCACTTGATAAGCCTTGAGCACGGTGGCGCCCATCACGCCGGCGTGCATCGCCGACCGAAAGGCCTGGAAAGTTCGAGCTGTCCCTAAACCCTATGCTTAGGCTTCGCATATTTTAGGGTTTAGGGTCTAGGGTTTAGGGTTTAGGTTTTAGGTTTTAGGGGCTTTGTTGCCCACAAGCCATGCTGTTAAAGGCTCTTGGGGCTTTACCTTCAGAACACGCCTGAGGGCACCTCAGAAACAAAAACACATGACTTCAATTCGAGCTTATGAAGGCTCAGGGATTCAGAGACTTGGTGAGCTTGGTGTTCAAGAGTCGACCTGGATAACAGCTCTAAACCCACATCATAAACTGCTCGAAACCACTTAAACCCGAATCCGAATTAGAGCCCTAACAGCAGCCCTAGACCGCTCTTAACCGTAAACCTACACCATGAACTTGAACCCTACCTCACGAGGGGCTTAAGGGTTTCGCGGGGTTTAGGGGCTGGGTTTGGCACGATTTAGGGTTTTGGGGTGTGGGGCTTAAACCTCAGATGCTGCTGACTTCCTTAGTTGCTGAGTTCATAGGCCCCCCAAAAATGTACACTTCCAGCTCTATAGGGTATTCTCGTATCCCAAAAAGGTGTAAAGTGTACTCACTCAGCTAATATGCTTCTGGATTAGGGTCAAGCAAGGGCTTCTAAGTGTTCTCTATACTCCCCTTAGAACCTTAATAAACATTATATTTTTTTAATATCCTCTTGGGTTCTATATAAACAAAAACAAAAAAGAATTCCCAAGGGGGATATAGTTCTTGCTCGTCGCAGGGAAGCAGCTCGATGCCAGTGACCTCTGAGCAGTTCTAAACCATGAGGCACGATGGCATGTCAACACTGAGTCTTATATCAAGCTACCCTAAACCCTAAACCCCAAACCCCAACCCTAAACCCTAAACCCTAAGTTTTCAGAGAATTGCCAAGGTGTGTGCGTGTGACATTCGACCTGTGTGGGGATAGTCGGCTCCCTTCTGAAGAGAGGTTTCTGCCATCCACATCTCTAACTCCAGCAGCTTCAGACTGAACGCCTGAGGCTCCCAGAAGTCTTCAACCCTATAAGACCAAAACCCTAAACCATACACCTAGGGTTTTGGGCTTTAGGGTTTAGGGGTTTGGGGTTTAGGGTCTCTTCAACCCCCCCATACCCTCAACCCTCGTCAACTACCCTCACGCCCCGAAACCCCTGAGATAGAACGCCCCTGACCCCCTGAAGCCAGCGCCTCGTCTCCGACTTGTGGCAACACTTTGCTGAGATCGACCTTGGATTCGGGCTAATGAGTACATTGAAGATGTAGTGAAGTTTGGATGTAGTTTTGGTCGACATGATACCCCAAACCAACCCGATTGAACCCTAAGCTCTAATCCTCAAACCCCGAACCCCAACCCTAAACCCTAAACCCTAAGCCCTAAACCTCAAACCCAAAAGCCTGAACCCTGAGCTCTAGACCTCAAACCCTAAACCCTAAACCCTTAAAACCTTTAAACCCTTAAACCCTTAAACCCTTAAACCCTTAAACCCTTAAACCCTTAAACCCTTAAACCCTTAAACCCTTAAACCCTTAAACCCTAAACCCGGAGTCCGATATTTTCCACGAAAATGGGTCGTAGTCGAGAGGCAGGCTCGCCCATGCCGACCAAGAGCCCGGCATCCTACCGCTTCTTAGGGTTTGGGGTTTAGGGTTTAGGGTTTGGGGTTTGGGGCTTGGGGGGTTTGGGGTTAGGGTTTATAGGGTTTGAGGTTCAGTGTTTAGGATTTGGGGCTGCAAGGGTCCATGCAGGGGTTCAGGGTTGAGGATTTTAGGTGCTTCGGGCAAGTATTGGGCTCAGGGTTTAGGGGTTTAGGGGTTTAGGGGTTTAGGGGTTTAGGGGTTTAGGGGTTTAGGGGTTTAGGGGTTTGGGGCTGCAGGGGTGCAGGGTTTCGGGTTTAGGGCACATGTGAATCTTTGACTATGAGTATCAGTACAGGTGCCTCTCCTTGTCAACACCCATTTGCAGAACACCTGAAACCCTAAACCCTAAACTAAACCCTGAACCCTAAACCCTAAACAACCGCGCTAGGGGTCGAAGACCTAAAAAAACAACCACAGCTGGCAGAGCGTGCCCTATTTTTCCAGGCATACGACAAAGCAAGTCTACTAATTGCTTAAGAACCCCGATTTTTTGTTTAAGTTCTTCCTTATTAAGGGTAATATGGGGATTATTTTGTTTTTTTGGTTCTTAAGCAAATTGTAGAAGTCGGGCCTCAACAGTGGGCCATATAGCTTCTGGCTTCAGGTTTGGGGTTTAAGGTTCCAGGGATTAGGGTCAACTCTTGCGCACATCACGCAGCATGCGCAACGTAACATGCCAGGAAAGCATAGCAGGCGACACAAGCGAAATCCCACCTGCGATTTGTTTCAACACCCGCCATGTGCTAGAAGGCCTTGACATGATCAGGCTTGTGCGCAGTGGAAAGATCCACTCGCCATCCTCTCCTAAACCCTCAACCTTCAACCTTCAACCGTCAACCCTAAACCTAAACCCTAAACCCAAAACCCTATAAGCCCTAAGCCCTAAGCCCTAAACCCTAAGCCTAACCCCCCACTCCTCCCTGCTGCCCGCCCTTTCTCTGCCCGCCCGCCTGTCTCGCGCGAGCCTCTGGTGCACCAGCTGAATCCTTTGGAAGCATTAGTTATAGGGTTTAGGGTTTAGGGTTTCGGATTTTGATCTTCAGGTTCAGAAAGTTCGGAATTTTGCACGGGACAGGACTCTTCAAGGCCTGATTTGGAGAGGAGATGCACAAACGCCCATATGAAGCAGGGGTGCTCGCCAAACTGGGATATATGTCAAGTTGTTGTGTTTGTGCGCGTAAACCCGACATCGTTCCGCCTCAGAAAAACAGACTCCCATTCAAATGCTGCAGGTCCGCTGTCATATCAGGTACGGGGTTGAGAATTATGGATATTCGACCTGCTGGACAAACTCTACGGCAGTCAAGCATTGTTGTAGTTGGGGGTTGATCCCCACAGGTGCTACTTGGCGGTTCATGGTACCTGTAACCAAATTATAACTGTACTGATAACCCACTTATAAGCCCTTTAAGTGCCCGTTTATGGTTCTAATTGCGATATAAGCACAGTTATAACTGGGCTATTAAGCACCATGAACCTGCAAGTAGTGTCCGGATCCCCATGCACGTGCTATCTGCATAAATAAGGGCCGGGTACCCCCCCCAAAACGGATCATGATTTATCGGGCCCGTGCTACGTAGATTAACGAACTAGATGAAGCCCCTAAACCCTAAACCCTAAACCCTAAACCCTAAACCCTAAACCCTAAACCCTAAACCCTAAACCCTAAACCCTAAACCCAAACCCTTCGTATGCGATCAGTCCTGTCTCGTGTCTCGCCCCACATGGCGCGCACGGCTGACCTCTGGGACCTTGCTGCACACTGGCAGAGAGCATAAAGCAGGTTTAGGGTTTAGGGTTTAGGGTTTAGGGTTTAGGGTTTAGGGTTTAGGGTTTAGGGTTTAGGGTTCAGAGCACCTAAACCAGCAATACAAACCCCAAGCCCTGAACGCCAAACCTTCACGCCGAATAGCTCGCCCTAAACCTTGAACTTCCCCCCCCCTCTCTTCCCAGTTGGACACAAGTGCTTCTGACACAGGGAGGCTATATGGGGTTTACGAAAATAGAAGACCCCCAATATAGATCCCCAAGAATAGTAGGATTCCCCTATCATAAGGACCCCAACAAGGTACCCCTAACTTCGGAAACCTAAGCCCTAAACCCTAACCCCCTCATATACTCCCTACTTATCTTTTTTGTTGGGTTCGGGGTTGGCCGGACGGCTGACCTGAGGCTAATTTACGAGAAGACGCGATGACAGCCCCGAGCCCCGCGCGATGCACTGGCGACCTGAATCACGGACTTCGGGGGAGGGGGGGGGGGGGGTTTGAGGGTTTAAACCCTAGGGTTTAGAGCTTGGGGTTTGGGGTTTTGGGGGGGAGGGGGGAGGGGTTGAGGGTTTAGGGTTTAGAGCTTGGGGTTTGGGGTGTAGGGTTAGCAAGATGTCACAGCATCTTGCCCTAGCCTTTGAATGCTTTTTACCCTGTTACTGCTAGCAGCTCAAGCCATCCCTATAGTCCCTACAAAGCCTGCAAACCGGAGACAACCTTTGTTTGCGCCTTTAGTAGTTCGTGGCTTAGGGCTAATTTGCTGTTGGGGTGGTTCGGGACAACCCTACCCTAAACCCCAAACCCCAAACCCCACCCCAAACCCTAAACCATAAACCCTATACGCCGTACCACAGCACCTCGAGACACCGCAGGTGATCGCAGATGCTGCGCCTCGAGCCAGGTTCTTGCCCAGAGTAGCCGTTAACTGAAAGAAAGGCTGCATACCCAACAAATTACATACATGTGGCTTTTTAAAGGTAGATCGGGGATACTCTATAAGTCCAGGTTGCCTGTGCTTGGCATCTGCATGCAAGACTAGATTTTTACGCAAACTTCTGCTAAACACCCCTCATACAGGGTCCTGAATAATTAGAATACGGTTTTGGGGGCTACTGTAGGTTACGAAGGAACCATACGGGAATATCAATATCTATTCCGACCCCTATAGTAAACCCTGAACAGGTCCTCGGGCTAGGGGCTTCAACACGCTGTGGTTGTTCCGGCACGCTCGAAGTGTGACTGTTCTGTTCTTGTTATGCATTTGTCGTACGAACTGGAATCGAACTTTGGGTATGTACTTTCTAAACACATAAGGAGCATGAGGGAATAGCTTTTGCATTGATGTCGAAGATGCGTCACGGACAAGGATGCTGGCTTCCTTTTGTTTGTAGCGACGTCAAGAGAAGGCTGTCAGTGGGCCTCTTGTCTTGTTTGTGTGTGTGTGTGTGTCTTGTGCGTGCTTAGGGTTAGGGTTTAGGGTTTAGGGTTTAGGGTTTAGGGTTTAGGGTTTAGGGTTTAGGGTTTAGGGTTTAGGGTTTAGGGTTTAGGGTTTAGGGTTTAGAGTTTAGGGCGTAGGGTTTAGGGTTTAGGGTTTAGGGTTTAGGGTTTAGGGTTTAAGGTTTCGGGGGCAAGTCCTCTGGAAGCATCGCTGCCGGCACAAAGCAAGGCACACTCAAGGCACCAAATCCCCATCCTTCTGATCCCAACCCCCCAAAGCCGCTAAACCCTAAACCTAAACCCTGAACCCTAAACCCTAAGCCCTAAGCCCTAAGCCCTAAACCCTAAACCCTAAACCCTAAACCCTAAACCCGGCAAATAACCCCCCCTCCAACACCCCGGAAGGCAGTTGAACCCAAGGACCCGGCCCAATTTTTTACCGGCCACTGCGGCAGAAGCTCCGAACGGTAGAGCCTTGGCCGCGTTTCGTTCTCGAGGCTTTCTTATATCGTTTTAGCTTGAGAGGCTTAGCATTGAGAGCTTAGGTGCTGGCTCTAGACCGTAGCTCTTTTGGGGTGGCAGGAGCTGCTCATGGAATTGAGCCCAGGATGTGGCGTGCCAGCCCACCTATACATCGACCACATCAGCCCTGCCTTTCTGGGGGTTCGCTCTCTCTCTCTCTCTTTCTCTATCTCTCTCTCTCTCTCTCTCTCGCTGTCTCTGTCTCTCTGTCTTCTAACTCAGAGCAGCACATTGGCCGCCCCAAAAGGTGGTGTTCACCCAAAGGCCCCTGCTTTTTGAGTTGCCCATCTACTGCTCAGGTTTCTCTACATTGTCAGCCCCATGCTCATTCTGCGCATCCTCGGTCAGCTTTCGCTCTTCTGGGCTCGTGGACCCCAACATCTGGGCCGGTAGCGGGCCCCCCTGTAGTGTTGTATCGGTCCCTGGGATCCCCTCTTCATCGGTGTCGAGCAGCGTGTCGTCCCCCCATCCACGGGTCTCTCTGTCTCTCTCTCTCTCTCTCTCTATATATATATATATATATCTAAGTGTGGTCCCAACCAACCCTGAATATCGGCTTTAGTGCACGATGAATGCAATGCAAGTCGTGTGGCAGGCGGCGTTCAGGCTTCAGGGCTTACAGAACCTTAGGGCCGGATTCCCATGAACGCAGCCCTAAGACAATCGGAATTAGAAAATGTGGATTTAGCGTTTAGGGTTTGGGGTTTAGGGTTACGGTCTAGGGTTTAGGGGACTCAGTAGCCTAGCGACCTAGAATTCTGTTTCAAGGGTTGTCTTGATGCACCTCCAAATTCTCTACTCAGAGCCCACAAAAGGCAAGCCCCTCAACTAACCCTAAACCCTAAACCCTAACCCTAAACCCTAAACCCTAAACCCTTAACCCTTCACCCTTCAAAGCCTCAGGCTCGGCAGGGAGCATCCACGCCAAACTCCCGGCAAAGACGTCGGTGCCTGGAAGAGCGCCAAGGCAAAAAAGAGAGTCTCGTGGTTTAGGGTTTAGGGTTTAGGGTTTAGGGTTTAGGGTTTAGGGATGGGCTGTTCTACCCTATAACCCCTTAAACATGCCCTATACAGGGTTGGCTATCTTGATTATAGGGCCCAATAGCCCCTTATACAGCGGTCCTTAATGGGGATTATAGTACCCCGATTATAAACCCTGTTAAGGACTAGTATAAGGGGGAACATCCCAACAAATAAGGCTTCCAGGGAACGGGCGTTGCCAGATTTGTGACTCTAGGGTATATCAGGCGAAAACCCTAACTCCTCAGCCCTTGGCCAACCCTAAACCCTAACAACCCCCCCAAACCCCCAAACCCGAAACCCTGAACTCCTCCCCCCCCCCCCCCAAGTCCCCTCCTGAACCCCGGAGTCCCCCAAACGGCTTCGGGTTCAGAGTCCAGGGTTTGAGGTTTAGGGTTCGAAACCCTGCCCCCAAACTCTCCCTAAACCCTAAACCCTAAACCCTAAACCCCAAACGTCAGGAGATTCCGGGCTCCGGGCGTAGGAGACCGGAGAGGTCTGCCGCATACGGTCCCAGCCCCAGCTCGTTGCGGCCGGAGACGCACCACAGTGAGGGGTCCTCTGGGCTTGCTATAGGGGGCCCTGACTAGTTTGGGGTTTAGGGTTGTTTAGGGGGGTTTCGGGGGATATGATAGCAGTGAGGACTGCTATAGGATCCCCCTCTGCCGGGGACCTCCGTTAGGTCCCGGCTTCTGCTTAGGATCTGTGAAAGGATCTGATCATTGCAGACGTCCCCTATAGGGGCCCTGTGGTAGAACAACCCCGGATAGGCTTGACACTCCCCATGTGGCCAATGCTCTGCTGATACGATATGGAGGCATAGATTCACAGCTCCCCGCAAGGGACACTGGTGTAGCGGGACCCCCCGCCCTCCCCTTACCCTAAACCCTAAACCCTAAACCCGAAACCTCAGTATGACACTTCTGAAGCCAGACGTGTGGCGTTTGGGGGGGTTAAGGGCCCATGGCCTTGTGCAGGATCGGCTCCAGCTGGGCAAAGAAGTACAGCATGTCCTGAGAAGGCACTCTTCACCCCATGAACTTAATAGCACATGCATATAGGCCCCTGAACCCTAAACCCTAAACCCTAAACCCTAAACCCTAAACCCTAAATCCTAAACCCTAAACCCTAAACCCTAAACCCTACACCCTGAACCCCTTCACGGCACCGGCTCGGGCGCTGTGATCCCGCGTAGCGCCTCTTAGAGCCCTAAGCCCGGGCTTCAGAGCCCCCGATGCCTTTCAAGGCTGCGACCCCAACCTGAAAAGGCTCAACCTTTACGGTTTAGGGTTTAGGGTTTAGGGTGCAACCCTCTTGAAGGACCTACGTTAAACCCCAAAACCCTAAACCCTGAGCCAGAATTTTGGGATTTTTGAGGCGGGAGCTGTTCCGTTCTTCCACCTGCCCCATGCAAAATAGCCCCGGTGCTCTAGGAGGTTTCGGGTAAGCCCCTAAGAAGTTTAGGTAGGCTCTCAGGGCTAGGTCACCATCTGTTAGCGTTGAATTGGGGCTTAGGTTTCTTTTTAATTCAACCGGAGGCCAAGTAAAGGCAAACCAAACAAGACAACAACACCTCGTACCCAAAATCCTACGCTTAGCAAAGAACCCTACACCCTACACGTCCCTACGCCCCAAGCCCTACCCTACCCCTAGAGCCAAACCAGCCGAGGTCAGCGCAGGTGCTGCCTCCATGTCTTCCTCCACCTGAGTCATGGCTTACTTGGAGGTACATGGTAATCAATTACAGCTGTACTTACTCACCGTACTTATCACCATATTAGGGCACTTCAGGGGCTTATAAGCGGGTCATTGTAAGTACAGTTATACTCAAGGTAAACAAATACCATGAACTTCCAAGTACCGGGTTCATTGTAGGGTGCAGGGTTTACCTTGGCCTTAGCTACTTAGACTGCAGGGTTCAAGGTTTACCAGGACAAATCATTGTCTTTCCGATTTTGGCGAATCCTCGCAGTTAATGTTATGCTCGCAGGATTGGTACCGCAAAAATAGGGAACTAGAATTAGTTGGTTTATAAGCTTTATGCCCTAGAGCCGTAGGGCAGAGAGGCTGCCAGACTGGAGCCCAACCTATGCAGTTTACGGCTCAGGGTTCGACCCTACACCCCAAACCCCAAACCCCAAACTCTAAACCCTAAACCCTTAACCCTAAACCCTACGTGAGCCCCCAAAACCCCAGCTCGGCACCCCACCACCAAGAGTGTCCGGGCCCTGGGGAAGTGCTTGTTCAAGGCGTAGGATATCGCCTCGCGGTGATGCCTCAGGTTTAGCGGGTTTAGGGTTTAGGGTTTAGGGTTTATAGGGTTTAGGGTTTAGGGTTTTAGGGTTTAGTGTTGCAAGAGTTCGGGTGTCGGGTTAAGGCTAGCATGGCTGGATGACGGAATGAATGACGAATGCATGCTGCTGATACACACGAACACAAGCACGTTGCAAGCGTGACGGTTTCTCCCAACAGGCTATCTTGGGAATGCAGTGCGCAGTGATCAAGGCTCACAGAGCTTTAGGTTTAACGGTGATCAGGAATGTTTAAACAACATGGGTAATTCCCAAAATAGGGTTACCCCTTCTGTATCCCATGTAGAATAGAATCCCTTAAAGGGACGCCCCAAAAGGGTACTCCCCCCCCATTTTCGGAAACACATCGAAGAACATCAAAACTGAGCTCTGAACTCAGTCACGCGTGTGTCAAAGTCCACGATGCTCTCGCGGTCATGCAGAACCTGTTCGGCACCCTTAACCTGGGGTTTAGGGTTACGGTTTAAGGTTAATTAGGGTTTTTCGGGTATCCTAAAGGTCCATGTACCTAAATGGGGAATACCTGGTCCTTATAAAGTACTTCCTCTGTAGCGACTTTGGGGCCCAAGCAAGTATATAATGCGAAGGTACATGGACCCTGAATAGGGTTAACCCGAAACTCTAAGAGCCGGAAATCCAGAGCTTCATGGATCAGCAACCGCCTGGTAAGGGGTGCTCGATTGCCGAGGCTCCCGCCCAGGCGACTTTGAAGAGGCTCTGAGCCACCTCCGTTTCGGGGCTTAGGGTTTAGGTTTATGTTTTGTTTAGGGTTTAGGGTTAGGGTTTAGGGTTTAGGGCTTAGGGATAGAGTTTAAGCTCGCTGGGAGCTGAGACAATACCCGACAGGACACCCATGAAGGTCAGCTACCTGGCCAAACAAGAACGAGCCTACCAGGAACATACTTTAACCGGACTTGCCAGGACCCCAAACCCTAAACCCTAAACCCCAAACCCTAGACCCTAACTAAACCCCACACCTGAAACCCAAAAAACAAACAAGAACCATTGGACCAGAAGCAAACTCATGTGTATGGGTCTCTTGGTTCACTGCTTCAGATGAATCTTTACGCAAAGTTCAGAGGACTACCTGAAGGCAAACAAAGCGTCTTGTTCAAAGGTGCTCTAGAATCCTCAAACTGGCTCGAAGATCGCAGCCCGCACAGGAGGTGCAAGCCTAAACCCTAAACCCTAAACCCTACCACCTACAACCCTACAACCCTACAACCCTACAACCCTAAACCCTAAACCCTACAACCTCAACCTATAGAGTCGATCATGAGATCCGTGAACCCGGCCCACTGAGCGCGTGCGTCGGGGCCGTCCTGGCGACTTCAGGGGACTTTTAGGGTCGCCCTAAACCCTAAACCCTGAACCCTAAACCCTAAACCCTGAACCCTAAACCCTAAACCCTAAACCCTAGACCCTAAAGCCTTATAAACCCTAAACCCTATAGGCCCTAAAACCTCTACCTCTTGGGCTTTAGGCTTTAGGGGTTATAGGGCTTCACAGGGTTTAGGGAACTCCGAACCACAAACCCGCTTTTTTTGTGCTGGTAGAAGGATACGTCAGAATCCTATACCATGCCCTGCTCTCATGACCTACCACTTAGTTGTCCAGTACCTAGGGGTTTTAAAGGTTAACCTTTGGGATTCTAAGGGGAATCTATTACCCCAAAAAGGTTAAAGGTTACCTACTCTACTACTGAGACCAAGGAAAACGGCTTGGGGTTCGTAAGGTAGGGTTTAAAGGTGATGGGGGTTGGGGGGGGGAATTAACGCCCGTTGGTTCCGAGCGCTGATGTTGGCTTGGGCTTTTGTTGGGGCTGAAGGCTGGGGAGCATACAGCCGGCTCCTGAAACACGAGGACCTGCTCTCGCCGATAGCCTGTGCTGCTGTGAGGGTTTAGGGTTTAGGGCTTAGGGCTTATAATGTTAGGAGGAACTGTATCTCCACACCACAAGAGGTTGTTTAGGGTGCAGGGTGTGCTGTCAACCCGCAGAATCCTCTGAAACTGCTGTGGCAGACCGTGGCCCGTTTGGGGTATGTATACACAGCATACTTCTTGTGTTCTTTAGGGTACAAGCAGAGCACCCAACCCAACACAATTCTCTTATCAACAGCAGGCTGGCATTTAACCAGAAAACGCATCTCAATGGAATGCTATTCTTTTGCAGGAATGAACCTCGGAGAAGGAAGTGCAGAAAAAAACACCAGTACCCTGTATGCCTGCAAACCCTCAACCCTCAACCCTCAACCCTACACCCTAAGCCCTAAGCCCTAAACACCCCGAAGCCCTAAACCCTAAGCCCTAAGCCGTACGCCCTAAACCCTATAAACCCTAAATTCTAACCCTACACCCTAAAACCCTAAACCCCTAAAACCCTAAAACCCTAAAACCCTAAAACCCTTAAACCCTTAAACCCTTAAACCCTTAAACCCTTAAACCCTTAAACCCTTAAACCCTAAACCCTAAACCCTAACCCTTCTAACCTTACCCCCTCTTTACACTCGCGGGAGATGGCCATCTCCAATCCTGGCCTGGAACCGACGAAAGGGAGCGCAAGCTCCCCTCCAAAAGCTCCTCCCAAGGGGCTTCAGCAGCTGAGGGTTTTAAGGTTTAGGGTTTAGGGTGTAAGGCTTAGGGTTTAGGGTTTAGGGTTTAGGGTTTAGGGCTAGGGTGTAGGGTTTAGGGTCTAGGGTGTAGGGTCTAGGGCTTAGGGTTTGGGTTCAGGGTCTAGGGTCTAGGGTTTCGGGTTTGGGGTTTATAGGGTTTTACAGGGTTTCTTGGGTTTACATGGTTTACAGGGTTTACAGTTTATACAGAGGCCTTACTGGGTTTACAGGGTATAGAAGGCTTGTAGGGTCTATGGGCTGAAGATAGGGTTTAGGAATCGCAGTTTAAACGTCTGAAGCCCACAAAGAAGGCCCTTGTGCCCAAATCCTGCACCCTAAATCCTAAACATGGGATTTAGGGGTTTAGGTTAGGGGTTTGACTCTCCGCAAGGGGTCGCACTAAACTCTTCAGAGCGCAACGCCGTGCAGCGAAACGGCAATTATGCCGTTTTGACCCCACTAAACCCCAAAAGTCTGAGACCCTAAACCCTAAACCCGAAACCCCTGAAAGCGGGCGTAGACCGCACCAACTCTAGAACCATGAGGCCCTACAAGGCCTACCCCTACAAGCCCGAAAACCTAAAACCCTACGAGGCCTCAAAGCAACAAGCTCTAAGCCCGTCGGGCAAGGAAATCGTCTTCTTGGTACCGACGAATCTGGATTTAATGGCCGTTATATCATCCTTTAAAAGGGTTTTGGTGTTAGAATTTAGGGTATATAGTGGGGCACCGAAGTTCCTTTACATTGTACGAAGAACTAGTTGGCTGGAACCGTCAACTGGACGGTCTCGTCATCATACTCAGGGTTTAGGATTCAAGGTCATAGGCTTAAGGCCCTAAACTCTACACACCAAACCCTAGACCCTAAAACCCGAAAACCCTGTATGATGTAGAAATCGTCTAATAGCAGGACTGAAGAGCTGGATTCGAACACAGGCTCGCCTGGCGCCCAGCACTCGAGACGACCTGGGGGTTAGCTTCGGAGACTGAAGGTCTCTGAGCCGGGTTTAGGGTGTAGGGTTTAGGGTTTAGGGCTTATAGGGTCCATGTACCTTTTTGGTATATACTCGGGCCCCAAATTCCCTATCCAGCAAGTACTTTAAGCCCAAGTATTCCCTATTCAGATGCATGGACCCTGAAGGTAACGGTTTCGGCTATGAAACTGAGATCCCTGTGTCGCAAGTACACCCTCAAGTTGCGAGCCCTGACCGCCTCAGAAACGAACTTCATCTTGCCAACACCCAATAAATCCTCAGCCCTAAACTCTATTACATTCTTCAGAAGTACCCATTAGGGCTTTACCTGAATAAACCTGGTAATTACCGCACACAAAATTCTAGGGTCCTGAAGGGAGCTTTCAGGGGGGGTATGCAACCGCAGGTCCCGAATAGCCCCCTCTACTCCCTAAGGCTCCCTAAGCTTTTTTAGGGTTTTTGGTAGATACCCTGAAATCTAAGCTCATGAATAACCCCCCCAGAACCCTGACTTCTGAATAAAGGAGAGAGACCTACTCAACCCATGAAGCTCAAACCTTTCAACCCTAAACCCTAAACCCTAAACCCTAAACCCTAAACCCTAAACCCTAAACCCTAAACCCTAACCCTAAACCCTAAAACATGAACCCAATAAACTCTTCGGGTGTTTACATGGCCCCTTAGTAATGGGCCCTTGACAGGGGACCCCTTATGCACGCCTTCTAGACCTAAACCCTAAACCCTAAACCCTAAACCCTAAACGTATAAACCCTAAACCCTAAACCCTAAACCCTAAACGTATAAACCCTAAACCCTAAACCCTAAACCCTAAACCCTAAACCCGGAGGAGCATCCTTGGGCCCCTGGCAAGCACTGCCAAGTCCTCCGGCCGCGTCTCCAGCGAGGCGGCCCACTCCGGGGCAGCCTGGGGGGGAAGGAGGGAGAGAGGGAGGTTTAGGGTTTGGGGTTTGGGGTTTGGGGTTTGGGGTTTAGGGTTTAGGGTTTAGGGTTTAGGGTTTAGGGTTTAGGGTTTAGGGCTTAGGGGTTAGGGTTTAGGGGTTAGGGTGTAGGGTGTGGGGTTTCGGGTTTCGGGTTTAGGGGGTTTGGGTTTTTCAGGGGCCTTAGGGGGGTGTCGCGTTTAGGAGGTTTTCGGGTTTAGGTAATTTGTCTTTGAGGACGGGCGGGGGCGTGCATGTGGTGAAATCTCTAAGGCCTTGCAGGATAAGAAAGGGGTGCTACTGGGCTAAACCCAAAACCCTGCGAAACTATGATAGACAGGGTCAATCAGTACGCTGTTGCGAGCATAGTCCTCTAATAAATTCGCAGCAATATGGGGGTTTTCGAAAATAGGGGACGCCAGCAGCTACCTAAGCCCTGAACCCTAAACCCTGAACCCTAAACCCAAAACCCAAAACCCTATAACCCTAAACCCTAAACCCCTGAAGGCTCATCAACCCGCAGCTCGAATTCCTAGTGAAGGGGTATCTGGATCACACACACACACACAGACGTTGAGGGTCTGTACGAATCCTAAATTCCTGCCACTTGGGTCTGTGCGTGGGGTTTAGGGTTTAGGGTGTAGGGTTTAGGGTTTAGGGTCAGGGTGTCCTCTTCTCGCGCCGCCACTCAGAAGTAGGAGGCTTGGCACTTAGCACTAATTACTAGCCTCAAGGGGTAGTTTCCGTAATGTGGTCCCTTACCTCCTTTACATGTTCTGAAGTATGGGCCCCTTGTTTTATAGGGTATTCAAGAGGGTATGTACCCAATATAGATCCCCAAGTAGTAGGGGACCCGGCAATACCCTAATTTCGAAAAACCACAAACCCTAAACCCCAAACCCGAAACCCTCATATCCTATGACACTCAACTCAAAGAAGTCTGGCCTGCTGTTGCAGGACCTGAGCATGGAGAGCATCTGCAGCTGCTACGCCTGGCTTGGTGCTTGGGGCGTGGTATACAGGGGCCTTAATACTCAGAATAGGGTTTGGGGGTGGTGGGGTGGGGGGGTGGGGGTGAAGGGGGGGGGTTCTGTAGTATAATTATATGAAGGGACCATGAGGAAATACGATTAGTACCTATTCCGACCCTATAGTAGCTGCTGTGAGGTTCCGTATGAAGGAAGATGGGTTTAAGCTTGGGGTCGAGGTAGGGTTCGGAGAGTTTCGAGCAGGAACAATGACGTGGGCTTTGGAGACGCTTCTCTGCTTTTGGATGGGTACATGTAGTGGCAACAGTGCCAGCCCTATACCCATGTCTTGGGCCTCAAGATTTACACAAGGGAACCCTGAATTAAACCTTCACTCATCACTATAGTCCCTCCTAGCTGGTCCTGGCTAATATTCTATTCTGACATGGGATGCTCTTCCAAATCAGCCAAGGGGCCTACTTGAACAGAATGAAAAATAAGATCAATGTTGTTGAGTATTGAAACTCCCGCATCGCAATACGAAGAACATCCCACGCGTTTCGCTAGAGCCCCTACTCCGCGACTTCTAACTTCTCGCCCTCTCCGTTGCTGCCGTGCAGCCGTCGTCTCGCTGCAGCCCACCATTCGAGAAGCCTGCAGACATGTAGGGCCCTCATTTTGCCTTGGGGTTTAGACCCTAAACCTTAAACCCTAAACCCTAACCCTAAACCCTTAACCCTAATAAAGATTGGGGTCCAGGGCGGGCTGTGCACAGAGCTTGGAGGCGTGACGATGAAGCTCAAGAGTGTGAAGCTGTGCAGAAAAGTCGTCTTCAACGCGTCCCTCCAACCCTTACCCGCAAACACAGGAAGACCTAAACCCCAAGCCTTCCCCTCTCCACACTTTTGATAGAAACCCGAACAAAACAACACGTACCTTACCACCTGAACCCCGCACCACCTGAACCACCCACCACCTGAACCCCCCCCCCCCCCAAAAAAAAAGAAGAGTAACACTACCATCATTGTTTTACAGGATTTCTTAAGCAAATAGTAGTTGTGAACCTCTTGTCACCCCCCTCGGGGTTGCCTGGAAGGTCCTGCGAGGCGTTCCAGTCCAGTGCTTCGGCCACAGGCTCGGCTTGGGCGTGCGAGAAGAGGGAGAGCTGCCTGGGTGCCAGGCTTGGGGCTTGTAGGGTTTAGGGTTTTAGGGTTTAGGGTTTAGGGTTTGGAGGGTCTCTTCAGAACCACACAGAAGCTCAACAAAAAGGCACACAGCAACGCAGCAATCGGCTCTTGCCTCTTTTGTGTGGCCAAGCTGAGCCGAACTGGCTGCCATCGTGCCGCTGAAAGAGCATCGCTGTAGTGAGCTCAAAACGAGAGCTGTGTACGACAGCGACTGCGTGTTCTCTAAAGTATGGTCCGTTCTGGGGTGCCCTAAATAAAAAGGGGCCGCCTTATAACAAGGACCGCCCAAAAGGGAACCACATTCTAGAGAAGTGGCCATATGGTATTTACAAGGCAGCGTATGTATAGGGCGCGACGCAAGGGCGATCGACTCGAAAATCGAGAGATGAGAAAACTGCAGGAGGGCTTTTGCAACCTCCCGACCGTAGAAGGTGATGGCTGAACGTCAGCCTTACAACCTACCCTAGAATTCCATGTACCTAAATAGGGAGTACTTGGGCCTTATAGTACTTGCTATATCGGGTATTTGGGGCCCAAGTACATAATAACTAGGTACATGGACCCTTAGGGCTACAGTCCTCACCGGCTCGCCACTTCGCAGGCGTAGGGTACGGCGACGCCCGAACTGCCCTGGAAAGCCTTCCGTTGATGCCCGCCTCAAGCAGGCCTGGGTCCAAAAAACTTTTCGGGCTTCGGACCTTAGCCCTAGAAGCCCTACATCTTATGTACCCTAACTTCCCGAAAACCCTCCGACACCCTGAATTGACGAAACCCTGTATGAAACCCCTACCGACTTCCTAAAACAAGGGAATAAGGTCGTACTCTGGGTCCCATCAACCCTAAACCCTAAACTCTAAACCCTGAACCCTAAACTACTGAGGGTCCCAGAGTCTCTTGGCCACAGCGCAGTCGTCCGCGTAGAAGAGTGGCCTTAATAATTTCAAACGGGGTTTCGGGGGTATAGGGTTTATAGGGTTTAGGGTCAAGGACCATAAGGGAATACTACTCGACTCGTACTTATTCCGACCCCTCTAGCAGAGGAGAGGCGTCTTGCCGGTCTGGTCGGTGGCGTTGGCATCCGCCCGATTTTCAAGGAGGAGTCCTCAGTCTCCCCCAAAAAGCGGCAGGATTTTTTCATCTGTTGGGCTTGACCCACATGGTGGGTTTAGGGTTTAGGGGGTCCTAACCCCAAAGCCCAACATCTGAAGCCAAAAACCCTGAAATCAACCACACCCGCTCCCCTTTCCAAGCAAAAGCGGCGGACCACGCCCAGCTGCCCTCTCCGTGCCGCCGCAGTGAGCGGCGGCGTGCCGTCGGCGGAGCATTGTTCGAGGTTTGCCCTGGAAAGCAGCCTGCAACGCTCTGACTTGGTGGCCCAGGAACGATACTATAACAAGGACTGACACCCTTTTTGGGGTTGGTTACTTTATGAGGGAACATTGAAGCAACAAAAAGGGAAAGGGTACCATCAGCCTACCAGTCTGAAGGTTTGCAGCTTTTAACCCTGCAGGTGTATATAGTTCCTAGTATGGGGGGGCATTAAACTTCCTTTTGTTTGGTATCATGTACTTACAAAGCCAAGACTGGCTACGCAAACGGGGCAGGGTTTCAGGATGTAGCGCTCAAGAGCCCCTGAGAGACTTTTCATTTCGGATTCGGGGTAGCTAGCTTCGGGGTTCAGGGCTTGTAGGGTCCGCGCCCTTTATCTGTCCATACAGTTTCAAGATGCAATCAGGTTTAGAATCAACACTGGTCTGTTAACTTGCAGCTACGTGGGGCAGTCACCTGCTGTGGAACACTCATTTACCCAAGGTTTAAACTTTAAACCTTATCCTGTATATTCCCCACCTACCTGGAGAAATGCAGAGCTCTACGGAACCCGAAGCCGATATAACCCCTCTCCGAATTAGACCCCAAACTGAACCCTATCATTTACAAAAAGGCTTGTGAAACTATTAAGCCGGCATAGCACCAGGAAAAAGAACACCGAACAAATCCCTCAACCTGCAGGACCAAACGAACCCTAAAAGGGTTTATGGTTCATACACCCTAGCAGGGATTATAGTAGTATAGAGTAGATGAGGTTAGGTTCATACACCCTAACAGGGATTATATAGCAGTGCAGGGTAGATGGTCCCAATTTTAGGGTTCGCTTGGAATCCAAGAAACCCTACATCTGCCACATCTGCGGGATATCGAGCACTTTTGGGAGTCCTTGGTGTTCCTCTCACAGGGAGATTCCTACGATGGGAGCCATGCAACGTGTTCAGATGCCAAAGCCCCGAAACCCTGAAACCGAAACTCTAAACCGTAAACCAACCCTAAGCCCTAAACCCTGCATGAACCTTATATCCCTAAACCGTATCAAGCCAAGGGGCAGGTGTCGGACGACCTGGACGTGGCCCACATCCGCAGCGATGAAAAGAGGTGACTGGCCGATACGATCGGCTTGGTGCAGGTCGGCTTCGGCGTCGACCAAGCATTGGGCAACCTCATGCTGGATAGTTGGTTAGGGTTTAGGACTTAGGATTTAGGGTTAAGGTTTAGAGTTCAGGGTTTAGGGTTTATAGAGCTTTAACCTCACTAAGATGTATGTACATCGTGGGACCTAAGGTCTTCAGGAAGGGCTTGGTCCTCGGATCCGGAAGAAAAGCCCTCGCCGTCACCAGGAAAGATGCCGCCGACAGGGTGGTTTCAATGCTAGCTTCCACGCAGGTCGTCAAAGCTTGCCCCAAACCCTACACCCCAAACCCTTAGCCCTAAACGCTAAGCCCTAAACCCTAACCCCAACCCCCAAACCCTAAAGCTACACAAAGCTTCGGCTTGTAGGTCCAGGGTACCGGCTCGACACTTCACAGTTGGGATGTTCCCCCTTACACTATCAGTCCTTAATCGGGATTACTCTAAACCCTAAACCCTAAACCCTAAGCCCTAAACCCTAAACCCTAAACCCGACGATCCCTACTAAGAACATCCCAAGTTCTCAGCACCAAGCGGCCTCGTAGTGTCCCTTGCCTGCAGCGATGAAGAGCGGGGAGTGGCCGTGCCTGGGTTGGCTGTGGAAATCTGGCATCCTACCCGGTCCGACCCTAAACCCTAAACCCTAAACCCTACACCCCAAATCCTAAACCCGAAGCCTAAACCCTATAAACCCTCAAGGTAGTATAAGGGTTGACCCAGGCGCTGGTCTGCCCGGTCTTTGGCCGCGCCCGCAGCCAGCAGGCAACGCACCACCTGATGGATTACATTACAAACCTTGTATTAATATATTCTTAGTATGATTGTACTCCTGTTGGTCTTCTTCTTCTTCTTATTCTTCTTCTTATTGCTCTTTATCGGGGCGGGTCAGGGTTGAGGGTTTTTGGGTTTCGAGCTGAGGGCTCGATTCTGACCTTATCCTCAGCTTCAACTCAGGGCTCCCCCTGAAGATTCCGGAGCCCGCTTCGTCGGGAAGATGGTTCTAACCTTCAGGAGCAACTGAACCCCAAAAATCGAGGTCATACCCCAAAAGAGTATATGAACCATATACCCTTTTAGGTTTCACTTGTAAGTGGTCCTGGCTGGCGGCCAGTGCAGCACGCCCCAGCATTTCGTCCGAACCCCGCCTCGACGCAACCCACATGCACAGCGCTGATCAGGGAGGTCTGACCTAGGTTGGCCCCTTAAAACCCCCTGAGGACTACTCTAAACCCTAAACCCTGAACCCTAAACCCAATAAGGACAAATATGAACTGTCCCAAAGGCCTACCGAGTGACTGAAGCGATCCTCTTTGTTCGGGTCTGCCCGGGCCAGGAGCAGAACTCGGACGATGTCCACCTTTCACAAGTCCACAAATCATTTCGGGTTTAGGGTTTAGGTTTTATGGGGGTTTTATCTATATTAGGGGACCCCTAAATAGAGCCCCAAATAGTAGGATCCCCTTGTAAGAAGGACTCCAAAAAAGTACCCCTAATAATCGTAAACCCCCGTATCAGCCAAGCCTACACTCACATATGGACTTTACTTCACTCACCTCACGTGTAACAACAGCAAACCTGAGCATAAGGGTTTAGGGTTTAGGGTTTAGGGCTCGACTCTGCGACCAGCTCCACCCCTCTCGAAGCACCTTGCCTGTCCATTGCCCGCGGCGATGAACAGTGGTGTCCTACCCAGCTGGTCCGTGGGGTCCCTGGCGCAAGGGCAAGCGGCACTTGCTACTATCACCTTAAGAACTTAAGGACCAAATGAAACCCGAAATTGGGGTCATATACTCTATATACTACTATGATCCCTATTCGAGTATATGAACCATAAACCCTTTTAGGGTTCATTTAGTCGCCTAAAGCAGTACGCCCTGTTTGTTTAGGGGTGGTTTGTTCATTTGTTTCTCGTGGTGGCTGAGCCTATTGCCACAGCTCTACTGCAACCTCACCGGGCGAACAAACCCACAACCCTATAGAAGCCTAGGAATCTGTGTACCTAAATGGGGCGTACCTGGGCCTTAAAGTACTTCCTATATAGGGACTTTGATGGACCCTTAGGGTAAGACTTAAATACTCCGAGCCGTCACTGCCAGGCCTGGCGACGCCTGCCAGGAGGAGGCCCTCCACAACTCGGGTGTTCCCGATGTGCGCGGCCCGCACGAGGGCCGTGGTCTGAGAGTCGCCCATGATCCCTCCTGGGCGTTACACTTCAGGCTCCACTGTTTGGGGGGGATTCATTTAGGAAATATAGGGTCAAGGGGATGGGAGTTGCAGAAATGGTGTTCGGGATGTGTAGAGAATGGGGACGTGCAACGGAAAGCGCCCGCACAAGCGGTAGTGATCCGGGACAGTTGGGATCGACCGCGAGATCCCGGGCCCTAGAGTTTCGTGGTTCGTGGTCTGCAAGCTGCCTTCATGACGCTGGGGTATGTGGACTAGGGCACGTCATACCCCTAACTATCATCGCAGAAGGCACGTTGGCGGTAATTACAGTCAGCAGTAGAGCACGCCGGCTTTAAAGTTGGCCGCCGGCCCATGCAATGGCGTGTGGGTCGGACCCTTATAGGCAAGGCACAAGCATCCCACTTGCATGTACTCAGTAATCAGTAATCACTCCCCCCCCCCTGATCCAAGAACCCAACAAGCCCTCCCCCCACCCCCCCCAGCAGCTGTTGAAACTCCGCTGTGAACTAGAAACCCTAAAATAGCTGGCTGGTTCTTAGCAGGGAATGAGGGAATGCGGTACCCTATGGTACCCTAGATACTCCCTTAGCAGGGCCTATACAGGGCCCTCATTCCCTACTAAGAACCAGGGAAAGAGCCTTGCGTCAAGCCGCCATCGTCCCATTCAAGGAGGTGGGCCAGCAGCGCCTCCTGGCCGATGCCGGCCTCCAGCAAGCACCGGACGACCTGGCCCATCTCAGGGGTTTAGGGTTTAGGGTTTAGGGTTTAGGGTTTAGGGTTTAGGGTTTAGGGTTTAGGATTTCGGGCCCACAGAGGAAAATCGTGGGCAGTGAGTTGCAAGCCTGTTCAACCAAACCCCCAAAACCCCCCAAAACCCCTACGACCCCTACAACCCTAATCCCTACACCTTAAACCCTAAACCCTAAACCCTAAACCCCTGGTTCAGGATTCCCCTGACCTCCAGGTGATCGCTCTGCGCTGCAACGACCACAGGATGCTCCTCCCCGTCACCTCCGGCGGAGGCTCGCGCCTGGGTAGCATGGGCTTGGGGTTTAGGGTTTAGGGTTTAGGGTTTAGGGTTTATGGTTTAGGGTTTAGGGTTAGGATATCGGAGCTTTGCCGAAGGGCATGTTTCAGAATTTAGGATTGAAATAGGTCCGTTAAGACAAGGGTTCGCCAGCGCAGCGTGGCGCCGAGCGAGCAAACTCTTAAAGCTTTGACCAAGCTCCCTAAACCCCAATACCCTAATACCCTAATACCCGAATTCCCTAACCCAAAGGGTCCATGTACCTATATAGTATATACTTGGGCCTTAAAGGGGTGCCTATACAGTAGCTTTAGGGACCGAGTATATACTAAATGGGTACATGGACCCTTAGGGTAGTACCCTAACACTCAAGCTCAACCAACATGACACGGGGGGTCACCTCTGGAGGTTGTTCAAAGATGGGGCGCAAGAGGGGCCCTCCAAAGAGCCCAATACTTAAGGAATATATACAAAATCACATTGATATCCCTAAACCCTAAACCCTAAACCGTAATCCCTAACATGAGTTTAGGTGTATTCCTTCATTAAAGGGCTTGTTGGGCTCTTTGGGCCTCCTGGCCTCCAGAAGGCAGCGGACCACCTCCACGTTGTTGTTGGCGGCCGCGCCCAGCAGGGCGTTGCGGCCAAAGAGGTCGGCCCTGTGGGGTTTAGGGTTAGGGTTTAGGGCTTGGGGTTTAGGGTTTAGGGCTTCAAAACCCTATGCCGACTCTTCTTTAAGGTTTTTTGGGCCCAAAGGTGTCGTTAAACAACGGTTTTTGGCTACTTTGAGCCTAAGGGAACCCAAAACCTTCAGTTACGGTTCCAGGGCGTGTCTTGGTCGGTGGTTTGCAGCTTTCAAGAGTCTGCTGATGTGTAGGTCGTGAACTTTGAAGCATTTCGACATGAAACACGGACCCGGGGGTGCCGTCCTAAAACCCAAAAGATTCGAAACCCGTATCCCCAACAAAGGTACCTAACACAGGGGTCGGAATAATTACCAACAGTGTTCGCCTAGGGACCCTTTACAATTCTACTAGAATAAACACCCAAAACCCTATTCGAATTATTAAGGCCCCTAGCTTCAACCGGAAACCCTAAGGGAAATTCCTTCCCCCTTCAACCTTGAGGGCCTCAAGCATTAGGCCCCTTTACCCAGAAGACTCTCTTAGGGTATTTACATGGTCCCTTAAGATGGGCCCTTCGAACACATGCCGTCCTTGCACCCTTGAGTGCAACCTGGATCCCCCGAAGTACCCTTCCGGGGGGGGGGGGGGGGGGGGTGCTTAGTGCTTAAAAGGCTTCCTGAATCGGCTCAGACAACCTGAAAGGGTGTAGGGTTTCTAGGATCTAGGGTTTAGGGTTTAGAGTTTGGGGTGTAGTTCTTCGGGCCCTGAGCTCTATAAGCCCTAAAGCCGAAGCGCCTGCTGACGTCCGCTCGGGCGAGCAGCAGGGAGCGAACCAGCCCCGTGAATCCTGAGAGCTAAGTGGAGTTTCGGGGCTACCGGGCTTTTTTCTATGCGTTAATTGCACCGAAAAGCGATTTTTTATAGAGGGCTTCATGAAGGGTTGATGAGGGGTTTACTTCTGAGGTGTAGTGGAAGTGCGGGAATTGTTGTGGGGACTCTTCTCGTATGGACTCCATCCTCACGAACTTCCTGAGTCCGACTCCTGTTGACAGGAGTCTGGAAATGCCAGTCCCAAAACCCCTTCAACCCTTCAGCCCCCGATAAACCCAAAAAACAATTAACCCCCAGAAGACAAAAACTAACCCCGAAAGGTGGGTGGGGGTAGAGCTTAGGGCTTAGGGTTTAGGCTTGGGTTTGGGGTTTAGGGTTGACGGTTTAGGGCTTAGCGGAACCCTAAACCCTAAACCCTAAACCCTAAACTTTATACCCTAAACCCTAAACCCCTTACGGTTTAGGGAGAGTTCATGGCGCCTCGTGCGGCTGCCAGGTGCAGCGGCGTGCGCCCGTCCATGTCTGCTTTGTCGGCTGCTGCTTTGGCCTGCACAGGAGATCTTCAGCAGGGTTTAGGGTTACAGGGTTTAGGGTTTAGGGTTACAGGGTGCAGGGTTTAGGGTTGAGGGTTTAAGGTTTGTAAGGTTTAGGGGAGTTACAGGGCTGAGGGTTGCAGGGTGCCGGGGCTTCAGGTTGCACAATCAGGGTCGAAGGGGCTTGCGAGCGTGTTTTACTTCCTGCGAGCATTGAAGCCCACCGCATGTTGCCGTTGACATGAAGGTTCCACAACAATATAATCCCCTGGACCAAGGGAAGCTTCAACAGTTCTTGTGGATCATTTGGGTGTGTGGGGGACTCCCAAGCGGGGTATCATCCTGGGTTGTCTGGGACATCTTTTGAGAATTCCGAGGAGAGGGGGGGGGGGGGGGGGGGGGGGGGGGGGACGGGGAAGGGGAAGGGGGGAAGGGGGAAGGGGAAAGGGAGGGGGGTAGGGGGGAGCTTTTGATTCGTGCGCTGGGGATGCTGACCAAGCATTCAGGGAGCCAGGATTCATCGGGTTTGGGGTTTACGGCGTTTAGGGCTTCGACCTGCTATACATGCATCGTGGGAGCACCATCGCGACTCGCTGCCTTCAGCAGATGCTCCACAACCTCCGTGTTGCCATCGCGCGTGGCCGCAAAGAGAGGTGTTCGACCTTCTTCCTTGGCCGCCAAACTCACTGGGGAGGGGCCCAATGATTTCCGGTGGTGTGGGGCCACTAGAGCCCGATAAGAACAAACCAAAAGACTTAAGGTTTAGTTTTCGACCCCCAAATGAACCCTATAAGCCCTAAAATTACATAATAAATTCCTACAAGCGAGACCCTCTGCTGAATCATCCCTAATTTACAGGTATATACATATACACATTTACATACATCCATATATGTATGTATGTGAGCTCCTCTGGGTACCAAACATTGAGCTCTTCTAATTCAGCAGGGGCCCCCGACTAAACCCTCAATGTTCGGCCCCTACATGATGTTTGCGAGCATCTGTGCAACGATCTTTGTCCGCCCCCGCAAGGAGTAGGAGTCGCACGGCCGCGGCATTATCGCCTTTGCGGGTTTGGGGTTTGGGGTCACGGTTTACAGGGTTTAAAATTATCGGGTCATCGGATTTTCGGGTGTAGGGTGTGGGGTTATGGGGTGAATCGGGAATACGATCAGAGCGCAGAGCTATGGAGATACGGGGTTAGAGGGCTTTGTGGGCTGAGGGCTGATGGAGTGCTTGGGGACTTAGTGCTTTACGTGCGGTCCTGGTTAGGTATAGGAATTTCAGGCTGCCCAAGAACTCCTAGGAAACGAGCTGGGTGCCCTGAAACCCTAAACCCTAAACCCAAAACCCAAAACCCCCCACCCCCCCCACCCCTCGGGCCCTCTTTGGGTTAAGAGGGGTTTGGGGATAGCGCAGTCGGGTTTTGGGGTTATCTAAGCCTCCCCCCCCCACACCGCACCCGTTACCCCCAGGCCCTGAATTCTAGCCGAATTGGCCCGTAGCTTCTTCCCTTTCCATGCCTCCTCCCCCCTGCACCCCAAACCCTGAAGTTTTTGTTGAATCGGAGCTTGGGGTTGAAGGCTTAGGGAGGTAAGCTTCTCACCCGACTTGCCCCCTCCTGAACACCGCTTCAGAGTCGGTCATACGACATAATCTGCTCCTAAAGCGCAAGAAGCACTATCCCTCAGCCCTAAACCCTAAACCCCCCCGAACAAGCTCCTTTCGTAAAACCCTTTAAACCCTAAACCCTATAAACTTCACAACCCCCTTCAAGCCGCAAGGCCTGAGCCCTAAGCCTTTTGAAACTCTCGACCCCTGAACTCGAGGGCCCAAGAAGCTCTGAGCCGCCATGAAGAGGGGAGTGAGCCCATCGTCGGTGGCCTTGTCCTTCCGCGTGAGGTTCACGGTTTGGGGTTTTTATGGTTTCAAAGTTCAGGGTTTAGGAATGAGGGCTCAGGGTTTAGGGTTCAGGGTTCATGGCTTAAGGTTCAGGATTTCGGGTTTAGGGATTAGGGTTCAGTGTCTATCAATCCGGTGCCTTTGCTTGTCTGACGGGGTTTATATGTATGTGGGGATACATCTCTGCGTATACGTATATATATATATATATATATATATATGTACACATGCATACTTAATTGTTCTAACAGCGATCGTATCCAACCACGGACGGTTCTTGTCTTTCGACCTTGGCGCTGCGTTTCGCGTCGTCCTTGTCTGCGCCCGCCTCCAGCAAGCATCGCACCGCATGCACCTCAGCCCACGGGCAGCCCCAAGGATTTGGCCACAGCCCTAAACCCTAAACCCTAAACCCTAAACCCTAAACCCTAAACCCTAAACCACAAACCCTAATCCTTGAACCCGAGTCCTGAAGACCTTGAGTAAGCCCCAAACCCCAAACCGTAAGCTCCGTAAACCCGGGGCTCTAGGCGGAAGCCTCACAGAATCTTCCCAAGCTAGCTGGGAAGAAGGAAATGCGTAAAGTTCAGAGGAATCTTTGGTTTGCTTGAGGCTTTGTAAAGAAACCTAAGCCATGAAAAAAGGATCCTAATCCCAAACCCTATAAACTCCACAAACCCTACAACCCCTACAACGCCGCAAAATGACACTTGGGCCGAAGTCACTGACACAGGAGCAGCAACAAACAGCGGGGTGCGGCCGTGCTTGTCCGCCTGCGGATTCAAGCGGTTTTGCTTGCTAAAGATTGTAGGGGACGAAAGATTTCAGGGGCTTTAGTTGTGTCAGGGATTCTTTAAGGCCCTTAAATGGGCAGGAAGACTGAATCGTGGCCAGCACCCGAGACGAAAAGCCTGCTTCTCGCAGGCTATGAGATTGTGACACTTGTCTGGAACCCTCAGCCTTATAAAGCCGGTAACGTTCGAAAACCAGCCTAGTCAGACTGCTGTGCGTTCTTAAGGTAGGTGTGAGCTAAACGGGGCATTGGCCCGCAAGCTTTCGCAAGACTGCACCTGAGGCCTAAACGGATAAACGCTTGTGGAGATTTGTATGTCTAAGTATACTTGTTAGTTTGTTAATCTATACAAACCCAAAACGCTACAAGTGTGCCGAGTTGCGGGTATGCTATAGGACTTGGGGTCTAGGCTTAAGGTTAAGGGAAACCTTAGCATGTACACAAATAAGGAGTACTTGGGCCTTAATTAAAGTACTTCCCAGTTAGGGACTTTGGGGCCCAAGAATATGACAATCAGGTGGAGGGAAGCAACTCTGTTGGAAACCCTATACCCTAAACCCTAAACCTTATACCCTAAACCCTAAACCCTCAACTCAAAGCACAAGCTGAATCAAAGGTCTGGGGGTTGAGGCCTTGGGGACGATAGGGCTGACCGAGCGGAAAAGCATCCAGAGAAACGGTTTAGGGTTTAGGGTTTAGGGTTTAGGGTTTAGGGTTTAGGGTTTAGGGTTTAGGGTTTAGGGTTTAGGGCTTCAAGTCGTTCAGGGTTTGGATCTGGCTGAAAGCTTGCCGGTAGCAAGTCAAGGAACATTCCGAGGCTCTTTCGAGCCGAGGCTCTTTTTTGTCCTTCGAAGCCTAAGAAACTCCTCAGAGGACTCCTACAGGGCTTCGAAAATCCTCCATCCCCTCTCAGCATCCCCCTAAACCCTAGCCCTAAACCCTAAACCCTAAACTGGCCCTAAACCCTAAACCCTAAGCCCTGAAACCTGAACCCTGAACCCTAAACCCTAAGCCCTAAGCCCTAAACCCTAAACCGCAAACCCTAAACCCTAAACCCTAAACCCTAAACCCTAAACCCTAAACCCTAAACCCTAAACCCTAAACCCTAAACCCTAAACCCTAAACCCTAAACCCTAAACCCTAAACCCTAAACCCAGAGCCATCTCCCTGCTGCCTTGTTGGTGTCTGCGGCGGCCTCCAGCAGACCTGTGGAGTGCCCGCCGGGTTTATGGTTTAGGGTTTAGGGTTTAGGGTGCAGGGTGTAGGGTGTAGGGTTCAGGGTTTAGGGTTTAGGGTTCAGGGTTTCGGGTTAACCTTCATAAAGCCAACCGACTGCATCTCAGATTCGCCATAATCATCGCCTCCCTTAAAAAAGTCATCCACTTCGAGACTCAGAGTATGGGGTCTAGGCGGTCTAGGGTTTCGCAAACGCCCATAGTTGGAAGCTGCGGCGGCATGACGTGGCGCGCTGTCTCAGCACGGCATTGAAAGGACGCCGCGCGCAACTCATGGGTGTGCGCACCGATCCTAACCCTAGACCCTAAACCCTAAACCCCACACCCTAAACGGGTTTGCAACCCGATCAAAGCCTATACACTCTCTAAGTCTTGGGATATACATTAAGTTTTCCAGGCCTGCCTTTTTACAGCTTTTGAGTATCACACCCTTGACTGCAATGCAAGGCCGTAAAAACCCTAAGAGCCCTGAAAATCCAGTTGCGCTTGCCAAGTAGCTCTGAAGCACTGGGAGATGAGCATCCTGCACCACGGAAAGTTGCAAATAGCCCACACACTGCCTGGTACACCTGTACCTAGGGTTTGGTTTGGGGTTTAGGGTTTAGGGTTTAGAGTTTAGGGTTTAGGGTTTAGGGCTTTGGGTTCAGGGTTTAGGCTTTAATGGGGTTTAGGTCATATACACACTGTCACAGGCGTATCTGGAGCATAAACCCTTTTAGGCTTCAGTTAGTCCCCAAGGTAAGCCCGTGATATACCGAAGTCCCAACCAAAACCTACAACCCCCCCCCCCCCCCTCCAGCAAAAACATGCGTAAATAAAGCCGCCGAAGCCCACCAACCCCAGATCCTGATCTATCCCAAAGGGATAGGGTCCAGGGTTTAGGGTTTAGGGTTGGGGGTTTAGGGTTTAGGGTTTGGGGTTTAGGGTTTAGGGTTTGGGGTTCAGGGTTTAGGGTTTATAGGGTTTAGGGTTGGAGGAAACCGGCCTGCGCAGCCACAAACAATGGCGAGAGGCCAGTCCTCGCGGGTCAAGATAGCTTCGCCACATCGAGCTACTAGACGGAAGAGTAACCTAGGAACAACAAAGGAAAGGGTGGCCTTTTTTGGCTTAAAGGGGCGAATAATAGAGGGAACCTAAACCCTAAATAAAGGGAATAAGGGCGTGGGTCCTAAGTTCAGGATGTGCGCTTCAGGGTATCATCGGCCTTCATGAAGGGTGAATGAGAAGTGGGCCACCATGCGATTTCGATGGCAGGAGCAAGAAGTCGATAGCTTCATCTAGGATAACCCATATGGTTTGCCCATTGAATAGGACCCCTTCTTCACAACCATCCAAAACGGCACCTCGAGATCTCGGACCCCCCCCCCCCCCAAGTGCACCCCTACTTCCTCAGGTTCCAGATGCTTGCTAAGACCTTTATACCGCTAGCGGTCTCCACTCAACCCTTAAACCCCTAAACCCTTAAACCCCGATAGACCCCAAAAGCCCCTTCGCCGACTCCGCCCGAAAGGGTCCTGTCCACGTGCCCCACGTTCGCACGCGCGGAGAGAAGGAGCTGGACAACATCAAGACTGCCTTGCTTGCAGGCTCAGGGGTAGAGGTTCAGGGCTTCAGGGTTCAGGGTTTAGGGTTTAGGGGTAGCTACAAGTAGGGTTCGAAGTAGGGTTCTAAGGACCCTAAAAAAGGTTAGAACGCTTGAAGGGTCGTGAGTAGTTATAAGTTATAAGTATGGTTCTAAAAAGAACCCTCCACAAGGTTCGAAGCAAGAGTCACCCTACGTCTAAATCGACCCCTGAACCTCCAAGCGAGGACCCTGCACGTAGAGCCGAAACCTAAACCCCGCGGGATGTGGGTCCTGCACTCTACACCCTCTACTCTACACCCTATATATATATATATATATTATATATCTACAATATATCTATATATATATATATTACCTATACACCCTAAACGCCCTTTACACATTAAACACCCTATGCACCCTATACACCCCGCACACCCCCTATACACCCTTCAACCTCCACACCCTGTACTTACACCCCAAACCCGAAACTTACCGAATATTCCCAAATCGAACCCTGCACACGCAAATTTGTGGAGCCACCCGCAGCGCTGGCTTTCCAAAGCGGGCTTTCCCCGCAGTCGTCGCTGCAGTTGGGGTCTTGGAACCGGGTCAAGAGGTCCTGAGCTCATTGGGACTCAGGGTGCGTAGGTTTTCCTAGATGTTCAGAGGCTCAGGGGTGTTCGTTCGGCTTCTAGGGTTTAGGGTTTAGGGTTTAGGGGTTCAGGTGTTAAGGGGCGTAGGGACTGGAAATTGCTTAAGAACCCCCCCCAAAACAACAAAAACATTCTTCCTCATAAGGTTCATATAGGGATTCTTATTTGCTTTTTCTTTTGGGGTTCCTGAACCCTAAGCCATAAAACCTAAACCATAAACCCTAAACCCTGTTGAAGGATTGCAGCCAAGCCACAGCAACTGCGTCCGCTTGGCCCCACCCGGCAGCAAGGAGCAGGTCCTCCGCGGCTTATGGTTTAGGGTTTAGGGCTAGGGTTTAGGGTTTAGGGCTTAGGGTTTAGGGTTTAGGGTCTAGGGTCTCGGGTCTCGGGTCTAGGGTCTAGAGTTTAGGGTTTACGGCTTACGATGTTCAGGTTTTAGGTTCTCCGGTTTTGGGGTTTCGGGCTTTGGGGGCTTTGAAGGTTTGGTGGGTTTTCAGGGCACCAAGGTTGCAGGTGAAAGCTTCTGAACCGGGAAGCACAACCTTCCTATAGGGCTTTGACTTTGAAATTGCCCCCCAAAACCCCCTTAAGCTCAAAATAGGGCCACTGCAATTAGGGTTTAGGGTTAGGGTTTAGGGTTTAGGGTTTAGGGTTTAGGGTTTAGGGTTTAGGGTTTAGGGTTTAGGGTTTAGGGTTTAGGGTTTAGGGTTTAGGGTTTAGGGTTTAGGGTTTAGGGTTTAGGGGTGGATCTGCGAACGTTTGAGGCGCCCGCATTTGTGCAAGGCAGCTGCCTGGGCCCACAAGCGAATGGCAACGGTTTCGAGCGTCAGGCTGGAAGCTGAGAGGCCAGATTCTGACTTTGTGACATGGAAGCTTGAATTCTTAAGCTCCGTGCATCAACGAAGCTGCTCCTCAATATGCTCCTGCCTGGAGGACAAAGTTCACGACAACGATGCGTGACGGAGCCCATGTCCGTTGTCTTCCACAGCGACGGCCGCAGCTGGGCGACTATCTTGTCCCAGCGACAACAACATGCGAGTGTTGCGCCTTCAGCAAGACGCAATACAACACGACAGAGATGTCATTCCTTAAGCCCTTAAAGCCGAAACTTGCCCTAAACCCTATGAGCAATAAACTCGCAACCCCTTTACGTCAATTTACGTCCCTGCGCTGCCCTGCAACCTGCGAGCCTTGAAGCTCGAAACTCTTGGGGTTTAGGGTTTAGGGTTTAGGGTTTAGGGTTTAGGGTTTAAGGTTTAAGGTGTAGGGCCAGTATCCCCCCAAAAACATGCCAAGCATCCCGGAGATCATGCTTAACTCTGCTTCGTAGGACGACCCCGAACATCCCCGCACTCACCCTAAGCCTCCCCGAAACCCTTAAACCATCCCCCTCTCCTGGCTCAGGCCTTGATGCATCTGCTGAAAGGCCACCTGCTGGATTGGTTAATGTTTGGGGTTATATGGGGAATATCATGCCCAAACAAAAAAGGGGTTAAAGGTTACCTACTCTACTACAAAGGGGTGAAAGTATGTTTTGAGATCTTTACCTACATAGATGGCTAAGCACATTGAAGATAGACAGACAGGTTTGCAAGTCCTTGACCTCAAGAGCTGTCAGCTCTTCTGTACTCTTCTATATCTCAACGATGTTGGAGTCTAGTATGCACACCGGGTCATGAGCTGCTTTGGTGAGTCCTGGAGTTAAGGTATATAATTTGATGGGGGGCCTTGGAGGTTTAAGCGTAGGGATTGCGAGTTAGGCGTTTTTCGTTTTATGTAGACTCAAGGGTTAAAAGGCTCAGAAGTCTGGGGTCTAAGGTACTCACACACACCCACACACACACACCTGTCGATGAAGACATCTGCCTTGTACTCCCCGAACCCTGGACCCAAACCCTCCCTGGAACCCCCTAACCGAAGCTGAGGAAACCCAAAACCCTAAGCCTTATGAGCTTCGAAAGCCTTGCCCGAACTCTTAATTGGGTTTAGGGTCAAGGGTTCAGGGTTTAGGTTAGGGTTTAGGGCCAGTATGACTCAGTACGAATTGCTCGGTGCCCCAAAGAAGCAACCATGCGCTGCTCGAAACTTACCCGAAGCAAGCAGGTAGCCTCTTCTGAGCTTCATGGGCAGCACCCTAAGCCCCAAACGTACCCCCAAACCTGTAGGTTGGGCTTAAGCTTAGCCAAAAAAGGCCCCCACAAGCCTAAACCCCAAACCCAAAAGCCCAAAGCCTGACATCCAAAACTCCGCAGCAGTGGGCCGCCTTCACTTCCTTGGGCTTGCCGAGGCTCTCCCAGGAACACTTCTTTGGCAGAACCTCCTCGGGAGGGTTTAGGGTTTAGGGTTTAGGGTTTAG